GAAGAGGAGTAATCTCCAATAAGGACATAATTTTTCCAATCTACACGACAGACATTTACACCTTGAGGTGACTGAAATGATGCTTCATTCAACCTATTAAAAAAAAGGCACAAATTTATGAATTACTTGGACTCTTCTAACAGAAACACATAGGCAGAATATTTAAGTAAAATATACTCCCAAAATATATTAAAACACTTTCCTTTTAAAAAAAAAAAGAGAAAAATTCAAATATTTAAGTAAATTAAAATTTTCATAAGTATATAAATCATATATTACACCTGATACTTGGCTTATGATAGACTGAATACAGACTGAATTAAACACTTTCACACCCAGATATCTTCCTGTAACAAAAACTTAGCAGATTAATAGCACTGTTACAAAATGGCTTACAATTTGAGAAACTGTATTCCATTCTAGGAGGCAAAGTCTGTGTGACTAGCACCAGGAGAGTCAATTATAATGATTCACATTTTAACTCTCACTAATTAGCCAACTCCACAAAGTCTTTAATTTTCTCTATCCATAAATCACAAAAGCACTTATCACTAAAGATGCTATAACTTTTAAGAGGACTGAGAGATAGAGAGGCAAAGATTGATTACGAAGTTCTTGCTATCTGACATATCTTTAATGTAAGATTTTATTTAATCATCAAAGCAACCTTAAATGGTTTAAATTCATTGAACAGAAAAACTGAGTCTAGAGAATTAAGCAAGTAGTCAGTAAGTGGGGAAAGATTCACACCCTTACTTAAACACAGGACAGATGGAGTAAACATTTAATGAATACTGAAGTCAAACAGAACAAAATAGCCATAAATATTCAGAAAATAAAGTTTTACGCTGCTGAAAGAAACATAGGAACTCTTCACTTTATATAAATCCATGTCTTAAAGCTATACATTGCACATTAGTAACTGCAAATACATGAGAAAGTTGGATTTTTCATAAGCTGTGTTTGCTTCTACAACATGGCTTCTCAAACTAAGGTGACAGAGCAGTCTTCTTTTGAAATTTCCAATCCACTGTGGGATGACAGAATAAAAGTGTCAAGGCAATGTCATATGAAAGTTTCTGAATGCTTACTGTCATTTTCTGTATTTATTTCATCACAGTTCAGGAAAACAGTCTGCAGATAGGCACTGGTCCACACACCATACTTTCAGTAACAATGATCACTACTTACAAATGAGCATGAAATTAAAAATGTCTAACTCCCAAGATCAATAAGTTGTTGGGAAATCTTAATGAGTGAAAAGAGTTGTTAAACCCCAAAAGCAAACTTACCTGAATGGATAACCAAAAGTAGCTGTAATCGTTTTATTCTCAGCACCTTTATCACAAGACACTTGAATTTCTGTTTTGCCCTTAAAACCTCCACAGGTAGCAAAAGCAAAGATAGAAGCAATCTACACAAAGACCAAAGAAAGAAAAGAAAGAAGCATTACTCTACCTAAACATAGGTCATGAAAATCTTAAATACAGTGAGTATTAATGACTATTAAAAATTGGCTCACTAACATTCTTAGAATTCTTATTTACAAATGAAGACGGTGAAAAATATTTAAAAATGTATCTGCAACCTCTCTGACCTCCCAGCTTCATGCACTAGTCACCAACTTAATTATGAACAAAGGCAGACCTTATTGTGTCTGTTACCTTCCTATGTACACTGCTTATATTATATAATTTCTTCTGTGACTGCTTCGGTTTATCTCTGAAACAACAGACCCTTCATCCCACCCCAAAACCATGATACCATTATCACTCCATGACAACTAATACTTCCTTTCTTTCTTTTTTTCATTTGTTATTTGGCTCCGTCAGGTCTGAGTCACATCATGTGGAATCTTTCATTGCAGTGAACAGACTCTCTTGTGGCATGCAGGCTTCAGTAGCTGTGGCCTGCTGGCTTAGTTGCTCTGTGACGTGTGGGATCTTAGTTCCTTGATCAGGGATCGCATCCTAGTTCCCTAACCAGGGATTGAACCCACGTCCCTGCATTGCAAGCCAGATTCTTAACCACTGGACCAGGGGGAAGTCCCAATGATTTCTTAATAGCAAGTCATGAGTTCAAATTTCCCAAGCTGATTCATATTTTTTAATCCTAAGTATTTTTTTTCAGAGTCTGCACATTACATTTGTTTAATATAAAATTTGTTAAGTCATGGATTTCTCTCCATAGCCCCACACTTCTTTCTCATTTATTATTGAAGAAACTAGGCCATTTGTCTTACAGAGATTTCCATACGGTGTTGTGTGGCATAATTCCTCTATCTGTTTTTTCTAAAGAGGCTAGATTAAACTCTGGTTTGTGTTTTCTTTTCTTCACTTGTTTTCTCTTGTTTATTTATGAGAATGCCAATTTTCAGCTGGCTCTCTTGTTATTATATTAAGATAAATTAGTGGGTTCAGGTATTGTCAGCCTGATCTATCCTTTAATTTCTCCATTAGACTTTCCTCTAGTGGTTTTAGCAGCTATTGATGGTCATGACTTGGTTCCATTATTTTATTAGAGGTTGGGAAATGTAGCATTCTGTCATTTCTTTGTTACCTGGAATTCTCCTGTGCAGAACTTTGTCACATAATCATTTTGGTTAACCTGAGGTATGGTTCATAGGAGGCAAAGAGTATAAATGTCTGGTTCTTTCTTTATTTTTCTTTACCAATTTTTAGAATAGTAAACTAGTTTCTTAATATCTTCTGGATGTAACAACTGGATTATTTTTAGCATTATTGTAAATTAGGTTTCATATATTTTATGTTTTCCAACTGTTTGCCTTTATTTTTTTAATACTCAAATTGTCTTGTATTTAGCTAATAGTAGTCTCTAGTGGCTTTCCTTTTTTTCCCCCTTGACCCTTACAGTTTTTGATAGTTTACTTGTTTTCTGGACACAATATTTCAGGATAAGTTTGTACATTTCCTGCCTTAATTGTGGATTCAGTCAGTCTATTATCTCCAGGGAAACTTAGTTCCTTGAATGAGAAATGATACTTACTAATCACATTCTGGAAACTGGGGACCATACTTTTAAGATAAGGAATTTTTAAAAATTGTTTTAACTTGAGATATAGTTGACTTGCAATTTCTGCTTTACAGCAAAGTGACTCAGTTATATATATAAATTTTTTCCCCTATTTTCCATTATGGTTTATCACAGAATATTGATTTTAGTTACCTGTGCTATATGATAGAACCTTGTTTACCCGTTCCATGTATAATAGTTTGCAACTGCTGACTCCAGACTCCTTTCCCTCCCTTGGCAACTGCAAGTCTGTTCTCTTTGAGTCTGTTCCTGTTTCATAGATAGGTTCCTTTGTGTCATATTTTAGAGCCCACATATAAATTATATCATATGATATTTGTCTTTGACTTACTTTACTCAGTATGACAGTCTTTAGATCTATCCATGTTACTGTTAATGGCATTTCATTCTTTTTTACAGCTGAGTAGTTATACCACTGTACGTTTATACCACGTTTTCTTTATCCATTCATCTGTTGATGGATATGTAGGTTGTTTCCATGTCTTGGCTATTATGAACAGTGCTGCTGTGAAGATGAGGGTGCACGCATCTTTCTGAATTATAGTTTTATCCAGATAAATGCCCAGCAGTGAGATTGCTGGATCATACAGCAACTCTAGTTTTTGTTTATTGGGAAACCTCCGCACTGTTTTCCATAATGGCTGCACCAATTTATATTCCTACCAACAGTGTAAGAAGGTTCCCTTTTCTCTACACCCTCTCCAGCATTCGTTATTTGTAGACTTGGGTAAAAAAAATTTTAATAATGAGAAAAGAAGCTGGCCATGTTAGCCATGCTAGCAGAAAGGAAGAATTCAACAAAGCAAGGCAAAGCAAGTGTGGGGTCCTTAGAAACAGTTTAGGATATTGAAGGGAAACTGTATTCCTTGCTGTGAGGGGAAGATGAGAATCCAGATTGTCATAATGTGAGAAACACTTTAATTGTGTCATTATTTTGTACTCATAACAAGAAAAGTAATGTCCATTAAAAAAAGAAAAGAAGCACAAAGAAGTTAGTAACTTCCCAAGGTTACAGAGCCAATAACTGCTAAGTCAAGATTCAAACCTGAGCAGTCTAGCTTCAGAGTTTGTTTTTAACCAGGATTTTATTTTTTATTTATTTATTTTTTTTGCCTACTCAAAGAGAATATTTTTATCTGGCCATGTGAAGAATTTTGGAAATGACAGTACATTCAATATAAGCAATTTTAATACTGCCATCTTTTTTTTTTAATACTGCCATCTTACATTTCAAAGAGGCAGTAGAGAAGAGTATCATGGGTATTTTTATTACAGAGAAATGGTTTACCACAGCTCTCAAGTAACTGCATGGGGAGTCACCATGAGGATAGAAGCTGGAAAAAACTCTCGTTCCTGCAGCTCTGAGAATCCTCAGGTGGAGTCTGTGGAGGCAGGTGGTGGCCGTGGAGATTGGAAAAGAGTGCAAACGTGTACCACGGTCTGTTGCTGCCATCTTCTTTTGGGCTTATATTCACAATGCCACCATGGTTGTCTCGTGCTATGACATTTGAGAACATTTCAAGATAAGGAGTGATACCCATTTAATATGTTTTTAAATACTTTAGCTTCTTTCAGCTTCTCTAAGTTTCTGTTTTGTGCTTCAGTTTCTTCTGTTTCCCCCAAAGTTGAAGGCAACTCCAAACTCATTGTCACATCCTCATCTGCATACTAGGGCCTCTCGCAGGTTATGTGCTGTCACATACCAGCGAGTCTGTAAAGAAACCGCATGACGACCCCGGCCAGTTAACGGCCGTTCTACCTCCCTTAACCAGGATTTTATACTGCCTTCACCCTACCAAGCTTGAGTTTTCTAAAATGTTTAAAAAAAAAAAAAAAGGAAAAAGGCAGTAGTAATAGTATTTACTGCACAGAGTTACTGTGAACGTTGAATTTAAGACTCAATATAGTACTTAGCATATAGTAGCACATGCTGCGGAGAAGGCAATGGCACCCCACTCCAGTGCTCTTGCCTGGAAAATCCCATGGATGGAGGAGCCTGGTGGGCTGCGGTCCATGAGGGCACCAAGAGTCGGACACGACTGAGCGACTTCACTTTCACTTTTCACTTTCACACATTGGAGAAGGAAATGGCAACCCACTCCAGTGTTCTTGTCTGGAGAATCCCAGGGACGCGGGAGCCTGGTGGGCTGCCGTCTATGGTGTCGCACAGAGTCGGACACGACTGAAGTGACTTGGCAGCAGCAGCAGCAGCACATGCTGAGAAGGACATGGCAACCCACTCCAGTACTCTTGCCTGGAAAATCTCATGGATGGAGGGGCCTGGTAGGCTACAGTCCATGGGGTAGCAAAGAGTCGGACACGACTGAGCTACTTCACTTTCACTTTCATGCACTGGAGAAGGAAATGGCACCCCACTCCAGTATTCTTGCCTGGAGAATCCCAGGGACAGAGGAGCCTGGTGGGCTGCCGTCTACGGGGTTGCCCAGAGTCGGACACGACTGAAGCGACTTAGCAGCAGCAGCAGCTGCAACCTCTCAACAGGTGTGATTTTAGTTTCCTGAGTATAATATAGAAATTAGTATAACAGCCCATGTAACAACACATTTGCTCCTATTACAGTGTACCTACTAAATATTAGTATGAAACTCAAAGTCTTATCTATTAGTATCAAAATCAAAAGGGGATAAATTGAAACCCGAGGGTAACTATAAAGCCAAGAAACTATAAGCAGAAATGTTATTTCATGAGCTTATAAGGCCTCACTTGTGGCTATTTCCAGGTCTCAAAAAGTAGTTGGAGATTTGTTTTCCTTATCATACATATGCTTAAAGAAATGTACGGATGCTTTCTCAAATGCTATCCAATCAGGGAAAAACCTGAAAGCATACTAAATATTGACAGGGAGTCAAATAAACTGTAACTCACTCCCGCAAGAGAAGAGTATGCTGTCATTAAAATGCTGGGCAATATCTAATGATAGAGAAAAAGGTTCATTACATATAAAGTTTGTTTAAACAATGCATTGTGCACGAGTCTATGTCTGTGCAGATACAACATCATAAAAACTAAAAAGGATATGCATCATAATTTTAAGTGGTCACCTCTGAAAAGAAGACAAAAGATAATTTCTTTTTCTATTTGTATCTCATGAATTTTCTACAAAACAAAACAAACAAAAACCCAAGATATAGTGTAGTAACCAAGAGCTCAATCCTTCAGCAAATGCTGATGGCTCTATTTATGAAATATATTCAGAACTTGATAACTTTTCCCACCATCATCACAACATCCTCATCTAAGCCACTATTACTTCTTGCCTGAATTATATGCTAACAGTCTTCTAAGTTGATCCTCTTGCTTCAGTCCCTGCCTCTTCTTCAATCTATTTTCCACATCAGC